AGAGCCATTTGCATGCGACCCAGCCAACTTTTAATAGGTTGCTAGTCTAGCTTAAGAAATAAAATTACACTTTGCATTTTCAATATTTTGTACATTCAAATGAGATTGTTTTATGATGGAGCGCGTTCTTTGTGGATTCTAATGACATGGAAGCATCATTGCTGATCAAAATATTAACTTTGATATAACATGAAAAGTAACGATTGAGTAACAAGACACCTCAACTTAAGTAGACATTAGTGTTGTTTACATATCTAAGCAATAGAATCGACTTGACATTTTTACCGACCGCATTCACATTTACGTGTCCTCGTGGCGAAGACACTGGCAGCAGCAAGAAGAAGCACAGCCACGCTACAGAATCAGTCGACACCGAAGTAGGCACCGGTTTTTCTAACTTGTTGCCCTGCCACCGAGAGTGACGTCATTGTAATTAGTGTTCCGTCAGGAAACATTTGTCCAGCAAGCCATGTCCCCAGCCCGGGCACCAACGAATAGTGCACACAGCAAAATCTCACTGAATACGAATAAGGTCAATGGTATTGACGCTATTTAGGAGTCCATCATCTACTCATGTCACCACCAATTGGAGCTTTCTCTTGTAATTTACGACCAACTACAAGATGATCGGAAAACGGACTTGCAGTGCGATCAACTTTGCCAACCGAAGCCCCTCATGGGAGCTGCGACGAGCAACTACTTTGACGTGCTCAGCATAGAATTTAACTGCTGCTTGACCGCTCCCGGTAGATAGTACGATCTACACTTCCAGATTGTGTCTTTGCAAGGTAAAGTCTCCAGCCGAGCTCAGTGAGTTGAAGGAAGTTTCTCTAAGTATCACACCCCAGCGCTATGATGATCGAGAATCCAGCGCTTCGTCCAAGAGATTGTCGCGACAAAGGAGACGACGTAAGAAACCGCCGAATTCCAGCTCCCACCCGATCCTGCGGTTGCCGACTCCAGGTTCAAGGTGTCGCAGAGGGTACCAATAACGCAGACACGGTGATGTACTTCGTCATATCTAGCATATATCATTTGCCCCTTCAAGAGACGACCTCTATCAGCTCGTATGTCATCGGGGTAGTGTGTTTGTATCTAATTCTGAAAAGTCGACCACGTTCGCAAACATGCGGGGCAGATAGATTGGAGACAAGAAAGTTCCGAAAAATAGAGGGACTGTCCCGTGTGTGGCTCAGTGGTGGAAGCTGTCATCTGACAGCACAATGCTGTTGCGAGTATCCGATTCTAGAATGACATTGGATGTGTCATATAATTGGTAGGTTGATAGCGAGGATTCCTGCACATAATCATAGTCTGCTGCGCCCCAACTTGCACTTGGCGCTTGTGGTACAAGCTTGGCGAGATTTGCTTCCGACTATAAGAAGACGTTCAGTGGCGGGCTGCTTACTGGACGATCTTGCAGTCCTTTGAGCCGGAGATGGCTTCTACCCGGACGTTGCAAGCGTGTTCCGGCTGCAGAAGAAGGGCAACCTGCTTACACTAGTGACTGATCATCTAGTCCGAGTTTGTAAAAGTGACTTAAACGGTGGACACGGCCAAGAAGATCACGTGCCAAAATGCAGACTGCTGACAATTAACAAAAGGAGGATGGCTGAAAATTCATCCCAGGCGGGTAATACCAAACGATCGATAGCCAACGCGATCGAGGTGGAATCTGTTGATGACATTATGGTCATGTGATGTGACGGTTTCGAAGAAAACGAATTGCGGCTTGTGTAGGTGCAACTTGTGCTCAAAACACAAGAAACACGTTTTTTGTTTTTCAACGTTGACGCTGGCTGTTACTCTCCATCACGTCAAGTATCTACAGGCGCTGTCACACACGCATATCGGAATTCCAGTGCCGGACTGAGCAATTCGTCACAAAATCGAGCCGGTGTGCCATCTTGAGGATAGTGAGCATCTTCTCTGAGTGCGGCTCTCGGGTGTTCTTTGTTGCTGCCGATCCAGAAAGAGGAGTGTGTCCCACTCCTGGCGCAGTAGACGGCGCTGCCACTTCAAATGTTGGTGATGGCCGCGGAAAATATTCGTGCCGCTTCCTGTCGCGATGCATTCTGACATGGGCTGTTGGTCCGGTGTTTCACAGTATCACTGCCATAAAGATTTGAGCAATTTTCCTTGTAAACTAGAGAACATCGTCTGGAGATGATGCTATCGTAGATTAGTTCACGGTCACACTGGAGCAAGGTAAAGCTCCGACATCTGTATTATGTTATTGACATGACCGAATTTCTTGCGTTGCTGTGCACCAGCAAAAATGTCAGTGTAAAGTCAAAGTATCACTTTTCAAATAGAGCGTCTGAGTGTCGCCATACATGAGAAATCCACATTAGACAATGGATGAAAAACAAAGAATTTACAGTCGCAGATCAATCTCGACATCATGGTGTTTCAGTGCAAATGAGCACCAATGGCGATATCTCGGCAGAAATTAAAAGATTGTTCGGAAGGATCGTTCTTGGTTTATCATTTGCTAGAAAACCTCTGTTGAAGTGGCGTTGGCGAATGCTCGCTATGCTCATCCGGTAACGACCTGATGAAGGGATATTTTATATTTCAATGTGCATCGAACTGCCCAAGCCGTGAACATTTCGCATTGGTTTTTTAAGCAAATATTGCAGAATGCAAGTGAATTGGTTGGGGCACACAGACGCTCACGATCAACCTAATTACCTGTAGATATCGGCACGGTAAAAGGAGGGTACAAGAGAGGAGGTAGTTTTGGTCCGATCACTTCGTAAATCTACCATGGGTATTTGCTTTCCAGCAATCAACTCTATGATACAGATCAACAATTATTCAGTACTTTCAATCTCCACGCGCCCACGATGATGTCGGCTCAATGTTAATATCTACTTTTATTGAAAATTTGTGATGCCAATGACGGTGGTGATGTTCCAACGAACTAACTTGAGGCCGTCAGGAAAATTCACTTCGCTGAGTGGATTTTCAACAGCAAGGCATCACACTTGTAAAATAAATTTGTTATTGCAGACGCAAAGAGCGAGATGATCGTAGCAAATAGCTAGAGGCTCCGAGTGGTCAGAACAAGATCAGCGTAAAAGGATTGATGGAAAGCGCATACGAATTGTAGGGATCCTCCCCTATCTGAACTTGAACGCCGAATTCTATTAGTCAGGAAATAATTGAAGACGACGTAAGTTACGAAGCAAAAGCTCGCTCGGTTTAATTTTGGGAACGACTTGGACGAACCTTACGTGATAAAAGGTCGACAAAGTCTACATAATGGGTTGTCAGCAAGCAAGGTGTCAATATTAATTGCGTACTCTGTGGCATGCTCTCACGAATCATTTGAGGGTAAATGCGTGAGCAAAGCTACAACGCGCCTCTACTTGTCGGACTGTCGCGAGCAAGACGATTATGGCCATATGCGAAGCATAAGCATACGGCAGCACACTTCTCGTCTATTTGGAAGACATGTTATTTAAGTGGCGCACTAGAGCGTGATAGGGCCCACGAAGTCGAAGTTTCAAAAGGGAGCAAAATACGTGCTCGCTTTCGTGGACATATTCGCAAAATGTCGGGACAGAGTGAAATGTATAGACGTTCAAGTTAATGTACTAGATGCAGTAAAGTGAAGGAACTGTATATAAAGAATCTGCGCGTATTTGGTCGCACGGATGCCTCATGTAAATGGTGCAAAACGAAAAAGGTGAGAGTTCAAAAATTTGTCGTTTATATTGAAAATGTACACTGAGAGAGCGCAAGGAAATATTGACTTTACAACTCTCAGTATCGCAAGGCTACAGTGATTTCGACTCTGAAGATACGAGCATATAGTTGACAGTATCCACGCTCTGGTTTTTCATCGATCAGCTATTAGTTACGTTACTAAGTGAGATACTGCCGGATCGTGTGCGACAGCAACAGCAGCAGTCGAAAACTGGTTATTAGCCGATGACTACTGCAAATAATTCTCTGAAATGAGAAGTAGAGCCAAGTCAGTCATCCAGTTCCAAAGTCGATGGAGTTGATGACATAATAAAGCATGACAATGTGAGATGATTATTCTTGATGTTAAAAGACACAACGATAGGTTCTGACAAGTATGGCGTGAACATCGATGACAAAGAATGCGATCATCACTTTCAATTTTCATCTTCAACACTACCTTGTATCAAGGACGATAGCCGTATTGCGGGTGTTGTACTTGCATTTGCAGATAGTATCGGAAATGCGGACAATGAAGTGACAAGGTATTAGTAAGCTATGACCAGCAATGATGCGTCTGTGCGGGTGAAGACGATGAGCCTTTTGAGCGATTCACCGACTGTAGCATCTAAGGTAAGGAACCCTTGATCGGTTTTTATTCCAAGAATTGAAATCAGCACTTAAAAGAGGTTCGATAGATGGATTTATGGCAAAAAGAAAAGTTTGGTGTTGACTTCTCCCGAACATACATTATGTTTCAATCGAGACGTGCTATACGTGACGGTCCAACTAGACGCCGATACATCTTTCTACAGCAGTAATCTCAAGGAGCTGGTATACATAGGAGTATGATATTGTCGTATTTTACCAATGTCGACAAGCCGTCCAGATGCCGATTGATCAAGACAATATGAAGATGCGACTAGTCTGCTTTTTTTCAACACATTCAATTAGTGTTGATGAAGATCGTCGTAAAAAGCTTGGTAGAGACCACTTCGTGTACGCTACAAACAAAAGTGGCTGCATGTTGTATATATGCCCATACATCAATGGTATGGCAAGCTCCATGTAAAAACGGCTCTGACGCTGAAGTTATGTGATTGAAGGTAACATATTTGTATTTTAGCACGGTCATTAGAACAAGACAAAGCGAGGTAAAACAGTAAGCTCTACACTCTTACCTCATATAGCGGTTCCATCATAAAACAATCTCATTTGAACGTACAAAATATTGAAAATGCAAAGTGTAATTTTATTTCTAAAGCTAGACTAGCAACCTAGTAAAAGTTGGCTGGGTCGCATGCAAATGGCTCAGACGCTGGAGTATCGTGATTATAGGAAACGTCCTCGATTTCTAGCAAGGCCATTAACA